CTACACCACATCTTATTCCTTCTCCCAGTCCGGAATGTGGAATGGCAGGAAAAGCCGATTTTATGTATGTGCATGACTGCATGTGGAGATGCTTAATTCTATGATCATCAGTTTTACTCCTCAGCAGGATGATAAACTAGAATTGCTAGAATTACTTTACATGGGTTTTATATACATAAACTTTGAGCGTTTAATGTTAGGTGCACTGATGGTGCTCAGAAAATGTTCTGGATGGTTTCCTGATGGATTACTTCTGAGCTCCTGCTGGATTCCTGGTCTTTCCTGCACCCAAGCCAGTCTGTGCCTCCCAGTCTGAAGTCCAGAGCTCCTCCTTAACCTGTCTGCTTTTTGGCTAATCTAGCTTCACTTGCTCCATTAGCAGCACCATGATGTTGTAGATTTCCTGGCAATCCTATGAGAGATGAAGCACAACCAGAATGTCCTGTTGTGGGTTTGGGTCCTTCAGCTCCCCAGTCACCCCAGCATCTGGGCTTCCTCTCCCTTTTTGCAACGTTGCTCGTGCTGGTTTCCACCCCCGATTCCCATCACAGCCTCAGAGTAAAAAAAACAAACAAACACAGTTCTCTGGCGCCCTTTGCTTCCCACCAACGAGCAACACCCTTTATTTTTGTTCCCAAGATCTAGTGATCCCGTGGCTTTTTGTGTCAGTGTCTCTCTCCTTCCGTCCCCCGCTGGATGCCACCCTGGGAAGTAGAATGGAGATGGATTGGGGTGAATTGAGGAATGATCCTTTTCTTTTTAATCCCTTGTTCAGGGGATGAATGTTTCAATGTACTTTGGTTTAATGAAACACAGGAAATATCTCCCACTGTGGTCGTTTTGCAGTAACGTAAATTGACTTTGTTGCCTGTTCTGGTTCAGTTCTTCACAGAGTATGGGCCGGATTACTCGCTGGAGATCAGTCCTAGCTGCCGACCGGACCGCAACGAGACTCAGCAGCTCGACCGGGTCATCAGCACCATCAAAGGTAGCACTTGTAGCAGATAGCTACCATAGCTGCAGTTTTGATCATCTTCTGAAGCTTTGAAGCCCATGACAAATCTTCACTTCAACCTGTAACCATGACAGTTGGGTTGATGTTGATGTTGGCTTGTTGACATGTCAGAATTAGTGTCTTGGGTGGAGTTTTATGGGACATTGTCCAGGTCTGCTGGGAGCATGATGACTGGCCTTGGGACAAACCAGTAAAGCTGGGGTTTGTGTCCAAGGCTTCAGGCAAAGGGCCAGGGGGCAGAAGCTGGGGCATTATTAAATTTCTTGTTGTCTCTATGGGCACAATATTGGCCCAGACTAGTGGGTGTGTTGAGAGATTATGAAGTCGTTCCCCAAGCTTATTTTCAGCCTCACAGTTGCCTGATGTATCCTACCACCCTCAAGTAAACATGTCCCCCACCCCACCTCACACACGCCATTCAGAAAGCCCCCCCCAGACGACCTTCTTGTCCAGCAGCCCGGAGCTTTCGGTCTCCTGCTTGGGGGGGTGATGTGTCCCTTTCGACTAGCGAGGCTGCGTTGCCTACGGGGGAGCTGTGACCTCCAGGAAACTATGACAGCGTGGGGGAGGCTTAGTTTGGTGGGGGGGGGGGGGGGTATATGACCAGAACAGAATGGAAAGCTTTGAGAGGAGCACAAGGGACTGAGGAACATATGCTGGCAGCCAGTGTCACATCTGCTCCACCACCAGTTCAGAGAGTCATTGTTTGGAAGTTAGATTCATTGATACGTTTCTATGTCTGGGATGTTGCTCCGTCTATCCTATTGCTTGTGGCCTGAGGCGCCGATGGTCTGTCGTTAACCCACTTCACATCTGACCAGTGTAGCCTCATGGGTCGCCAACAGAGTGATGGACTCGAGGCCCCGCATCCGAGGGGGCAGGATGCACGGGGCTCACTGACAGGCGATTTGTAGTCGGGGCTCAAACAGACATGCAGACATATATTTGTTCGGGGTTCAAAGGAGCTGAAGTAGTTTGTTGGAGAAGAGTTACACAATGAAGACAAGGTCACATGACAGGACCGGATGGTGGTGGCTTCATGACTGTTTCACAACCATGTTTCTGCTAGATGCCTTCGAATAAATCATTGGTCACTGTAAACCCTGTATTTTATTCCTTTTCCTGGAATTTGGAGTTTAATCCCCTGCGTGTGATGCTCCATCAAGGCATCAAATTAAGTAGCATTTTAACTGGACGCCACAAGGAAAGTAACTACATTTGGATTCATTTAGCTTTCGTTTGCGTGTCCCATGTTTGTGAATGACCGCGTGAAGAGCCAGTGAGCTGGGTGTGATTTGTTAGGCACTTCAGAGTGCTGATGTTGGGAAGGGAATAGTCCACTGCTCAGTTATGGCGAAAATCAAAATCACAGTTATTCTGGTCAATATTGAGATCACAACTATTTAACACGATTACTCAGTGACTTTGGAAATATCATACATTTTTTTTTTTTTATAACTTTTATAAACTTTTTTCTTTATTGTTCCTTTAGCAATGGATTTCCATGCATTCTATAATTCAACTGACAAATAAATAAAAATGGGCTGGAAGGGGCTGCACTGGATCCATAACACGAAACAAAATGAGCGCATTATTGCGAAATTAAATGTGGCACAATAATTGTTTTGTCTAAATTATTTTCTTTCGATCATTGTTGAAAGCCAAAATTGTAATTGTAATTGAGATTAAAATTCTATTACTTGTCCAGCCCTACCCCTTGGTCATGCTCAGTCAAGCCCCCAAGTGCCCCATGACCTGGTGAGACAGTAGTTGGCTCCGCCCCTTGGCCCGCTTTTCCGTAATTGACTTCTGTGCCTGGTGGAACGTTTACGGGAATGCCGGCTTGTGGAGCGGGGAAAGGAAACAAGAGAAGGGTTGTTAGAAACCCACATGTGGTGGCTTTCTGCTAGCGATCCCCAGCTTCGCCTTGCTTCCTCTGATGCCGTGCGCTGATACTGAATGCAAATCCCAGCCACCATGATGGAAACGGCCATCTCTCTCTGAACGAAAGCACTTAGATAAAGGCTTTTTCACCTTCATAAGAACTGCTGAAACCTTCATATTTGGGAGGTTAACTGTGGAAGGGCACTTTATTTCATTGATTGAAATCTCCTTGCAGTTTCTTGAAAGTGACCTTTGATCAACTATTATTTGGCCCTGGTGACATTTAGAGAAGCTCCTGGTTATTGTATACAAAGCAGGAACAAGTGAGTTCACGCTACGTACTTATGTGTCATAGTTTGTTCTCCGCCCGTGATTGAATCGTCATCGTCTGAGGTCTCGTTAAACTTCTCCCTTGCTCCCACTTTCCGGGGAGTTCCAGCAGGTGTAATAGTCAGAGCCCAGTTAGAGAGAAGACCATCGACATTACCAAAGCTATGGGGTTTCTCTTCTGTGGGCTTGATATCACAGCCATAGGGAAATGCACGCCATCTTACTACCGGCCAGTGGGTGTCAATGCCACTCGCTTTGCATATGTCATATTTTTCCATGACTGTCACGTCTTTTTAAAACGTTCTACTTTCAGGTGATGGTGACAGGCAGAGCCCAGTAGGCTTGTGGGGAATTAGACGTTATAACATTGATGTCTGTCTGGATGCCAGAACTTGTGACTTCCTTGAGTGTGTGTATTTGTATGCGTGGTTTCTTCAGACAGCACTTCTGCACGTGTGAGTCCGTTATTTGAAATTTACCCCCCCCCCCCCTTTCCCCCGATGTCCCTGCTCTTGTTTACAGGGAATCTGAAGAATGTAGTGTAGGGCCACGCTTCAGCTCACGGTTCCAGACTCAGAGGGGCCTAATGAAGACAGTATGTTGACCCGCTTGCCGGAGGGGAGCTTTTAAAAACATTGCTTCAATGTTTCCAGGAAACGTTCTAACGAGAGTCTCTTTGCTAATGCTGCTCGTTCGAGTCTTTTATTTAATGTGTTTTAAAGGGGTTGCAAATAGGTTATTTTTAACCAAATGTCCATTTGAAATCAAAATTTAGATATACTCGTAGGTTATGGAAATACTGTGTGCGAAACATGACATACGTGAATGGTTTTACGCCTTTTGTTAATGTTCTTGGATATCGACGCTGTAACTCCAGTTAGTGTTCAAACAGATGTTACCTGTTATAGGTAGACCCACGCGGCGAACTGTTAGAACATGTACCTCGGATCTAAGTTAATAGGTTGGAGGTGAAGCCGTTGGCTTGCGTCCTTGGCTCCACCAAAAACGGCTTCCATTCCGAACCCCTTTCTGCCACCCCCACCCTGAGGATTTGCTCATGGCCCTGAATGCTGGCTCAGGCAAGATGACGTCAGCCCAGCGGGGGGTCGCTGGGAGGCTGCCAGTCCAAGGCCACACCAACTGTGGGATTATCAGCACTGTACACACAAATTGTCAGCAACGCGACCTGTCAGTACAGATTCATGCAGAACATTACTTTAAATGTCAATGATAAGAAATGGTTTAGGTTTCAGAATAACTCCAAACGGTTTAGACTTAGAAGCATTTTGTATTTTTTTAACTTTGTTATTCACTGTAAATATTCCTCAATAAAAAGGTGATCAAACTTGATTTTGTGGTTCACTGTGTGTCATTCTGGTGTCTAGCAGCTGAACCTGTTGGAACTATTAACCGTTTATGTTTTAAATGCTGTGTATGACTCATACACGTACTTTCACCTTTCCTGGCGCCGACGGGACGTCTTTGATGCAATGGGAACCAACACAGGTCCATAGCATGACTCCTCTGCTTTAGTGGCTGCATGTGACTTGAAATTTGTGAGACGGAGTCAGTTTATTTGCCAGTGTACCTGCTGCCGATGGGACACCATATTGGTTAACTGTAAGTAATGCCGCAGTATTCGTGTAGATCGCAGAGTTGGAGTCGCCAAGCGGTCTAATAGTTATTACGCTGTTTTAAGACTCAAGGAATGTGGTGACACTTCACTTAAGGGGACAGAGGTAATGTAGCAGTGCACTATTACTTAATGTATTAATTAACCAGAAATTAAATGATAGTTACGTATTGATCCCATGTTCATTCATCATTAATCATTCATGATGGTCCATGTATTTCATTCAGTTACTATATTAGTTCATGATTTGTACTTGAGTAGTAACTGAGTTACTAAGTTACCTGTGCTCTCTCAAGTGAAGTGTTTGTTATAAATTGCGCCAATATTCAAACTTAACCTGTATAACCTGTTTTTAACAAAATTTCTAAACTGTATCATATAATTTACTGGCGATGCATTGAATTCCAATGATGTTATTTATCAATTTGATCCTTTTCTTCTGCACCGTGGGGTTGCCAACTTTGGTCAGCTGACTTGAGTGAGATTTTAATTTTGAGACAAGTCTGCACACGTATTTACATGTATGTAAGTTATTACATTGTAAATAGTATAGGGTTTACAAGCCACCTCAATGCTTCTGATGTGGCTAATTTTAGGTTTATAATAGAATATATATTTGCCGTAATATTTCCTGCGTGAACGTGAGTCTGAAAGTGTGTCACGACAGATACGTGAGAGCTGGCAGCTTCCAGCTTCATTGTGAAGTTGCTGTTCCCCCTAATTTACTTAACTTTAGTCCTATTAATACATTACTAACCTACTCGTAAGCCTAATACTGAGCACGTTTTGATGGTTGACAGGGAAATGTAGAAGCCATCAGGGCTGTGGGGCGATAAAGACGATGCCAACCGACCGTTTGTGTGATTTGCATACATTTCCCCAGCGGACATGGAGGTTGGGCAGCTCTTATCCAAGTTGCAAAGGCCGGGTCGCGGTAATGGAAACGCGCGCTGAACGAGACAGATGCGCCCCTTTGTCCGTTTAACAGAAACGATGCCAAGGGTGTAACGCCTCTTCCACCTTGCCATCACGCTCAGTTATTTTTAACAGTCACCGCTGTATAATTCTTGGCGGGAGGCGCCCATTTAAAAGGAATATTAACAAATAGCATGTAAATGTGGAAGCTGGTAGGATTTTTAGAAAGGGGGTTGACATGCATGTTTTGTTTATACTCTTCTTTTTTATTTACTATTTAAAAATAGTTTCACAAATCTTAGCATTAAAAAATCTGAAATATATTAGCCTCATGTGGGAATAATATGAAGAAATATCCTTTGAAAATAACTACACTTTGAGTCAGTCATATATGTTTCCAATATAAAAAAAATATATTAAATGACGGTGTGTGTCCTTGCTTTGGGTCATGGTTAGTTGTGTCTTCATCTATTTATACAGTTTTGTCTCATAAAATGTTATTAAACATCTTTTAATCGATGAGTAGCTAATAATATTTAATAATATTTGTTTGCCAAGTATCATTTTATATCTGAATATGAATAAATAAATAGTCGATATACAACAGGCAGCGTCCAAGTGCTTTATATAGGGCGTATATGCGTCGGTCCAGTTCAGAATCCACTCCGGGTCGCAGCTACTGCCCTCCCGCGCACTCGCTCCCGAGGCTGGGATGCGCGCTTATAACAGCGCACTTCTTCTGAAGCGGTCACAAATAATCGCGATACCTCGATTGCTGGCGGAATGACCCGAGCGCCCAGTGCGCAAGATATGTTATGTACAAAGCCAATGACTTCACTCGTGTACATAGTACATTAAATTGAACAGCAAGTTTATATATACAAGTATATTTTCTTGTCTTATCTGACATTGATGGTTGAAGGTGGACTAAACTTTCCGTTGTGCTGCTCTCACACAGTTTTTTTTACAGGTAAGTTACTAAATATGTCTGATGATATATAAACAGTTTTGCATTTTTCTGTGTTTTTCGCGAAGGCATGTATTGGAATTAGATGATGACAGAAAAAATAAGAAAATATTTTTAATAGCAATGTCTGTTTTGATTTGCTTTTTCAAAATTATATTTCTGCCTTAATAGCCTAATATAACTATATATAATTACGAATACGTTTATAAAATTATTGATTGTATTAACCATCATTACTGTACACGTTACTTTATTTTTGTGTATATGTTGCGTTTTTCTCAAAAAACCCTCAACAACTTTCATTGATTATAAGCTCTTGCAAGTGGAAAAGACGTTTCACTAGATTTACGATACGGGTCAAGGTCAGATAGTTTGAATGAATCCTATGTTTTTCAGTTTTAAGCAGGAGTATACCTAATAAGTAATTGAAATTTCATACTGATAATATCACCACGCTTTGTACAGGAATTTTACAGACAGATCGTTTAAAACTCTTACTACACCCTGCTGTCAATACGGTTAAGTTGCCAGCTACCAATATAGTAGCTATGAACTGAGGTATTTTCCCGTCTCCTCACCCACAGCAAAGCACACAGACAAACACAGCGATTGTCACTGGTCCTGCAGACCACGAAACATAGCTAGGATAAATCTTCAGGTGAAAGTGAGTGCCACCTAGTGTCCATAGTGGGGCATGACACTCTGTCCGCATGTGTGCACCAGCCCTCTGCAATCACGCTGACCTGACCATAAACCTTGGAGCCAGGGACGGGGGTGGGGAGGGAGCCCTAATCAGTTAGACAATTAACTCTCCTCAAGGCCTGCTTGTGAAGCCAGAAATTGAGCATAGGAAATATCTCCATTCTGGAGAAGGGACTTCTCTCATGCTCTCACAGTCATTGGTATAATGAACAGGCAGGTGAGGTGATTTCCTAAACAGTTCATGCTGGGCCTGGGAGTTCTCTTCACTAATTTGATTCTCTCTAAGTAGGATACTGGCTGTTACTAGCTAATTTACCATGGGGCCAACACTCATTCGCAGTGTTGGATGATGTTGTGTTAACCAGGCAACTTCAAAACCTTTTCAAAACAGAAAAAAACAGTTATCTTTAGATATCTTCAGCAATATATTTAATAGTGCTCATTTTGAGAAGCAGATGCAAGCAAGAGAAATGCATAATGATGGTGTTAAATATTGAATATCCAGATATTTCCAATGTTCTTTATGTTCTTTAACTCCTAGTATTGCATCTCTGGTGTTTGTCTCTCATTCTCAGTAGGTGTTCCCAGGTGATGAGCTCACTGCTCTTCCCCAGGTGCGGTATGAAGGATCGTGAGTCAGTGGCTCTCCTGCACTACACAGGCACAGGCTCAGCAAAGGTGACCGGTCCATTTTCCTCAGCGAGCCTCCCGGCCTCATTCCCCACGATGGGCAAGCCCCAGCCGTTCAGCCTCCCCCCCGGCCCCCAGCTGCTTGCTAGCAGGCAGCTTCAGAAGCTCAACAGTCACTATCAGAGCTTGGCAAGTGCCGCTACCCCAACTGCCGGACCGCCCAGAAGCTACGGACCGGCAGTCGCTGCGGGCCCCGGACACATGGTACCGCCACCTCTCGGGACCTCCCCGGGACCTGGACTCATTGATTCTGACCCAGTTGATGAGGAGGTTTTGATGTCTCTGGTGGTGGAGTTGGGGTTAGACCGGGCCAATGAGCTTCCAGAGCTATGGCTGGGCCAGAACGAGGTGGAGTTCATCTCGGATGTTTCTGCCTTATGATGTGCGTGTGATCTCCTACCCGACATGGAGAGAGAGCCAGTGTGGCTTAGCCTGACTGCGAGTGCCTGGGAATGGGGGTCAAGTTCCCTGCTGATGTGATGATGACAATTCAGAGGACGGCAGTCAGCTGAGGACAGCGTTCCTGCAACAGGCAGCATGTTTCTGCTTTTCTAACGGCCTTGTCTGCGTTTAAGAAAGGGGGGGGGGGTGAGGTCAAGTGAAGAGATGCTGAGAAGCCTGGGGATCCACAACAATCCCTGTGGGACGACCAACTCCTGCTTGTGAACCTTAAACAACTGTGTCCTGTAGACCCACCACTGACGTTTGCCATTTACACCCTAACAAGTCAGGCTCACTTGGCGAAATTTTGAATCCAACATATTCCACGTGAAACTGACATGGGGGGTGAAACCAAGGAAGATGAGCCGGACGGTTCTACCAATGCTGACTGTTTGCTCGCTCTGACGGAGTCTTTTCTTCTTTAGCCACCTCACCTATTTACTGCCTACACACAATCACATACAATAATGATGAAAATCCAAAGATCAGCACTTGTATGATGATATTCACTGTGTTTGGAATGGATATCCCACATGTGGGGTGGGGTGGGGGGGAGTGTTCCCATAGGCCTGAAACCAAAGGCTGGGGATTAACAACAAAAAGAAAAAAGACATGTAATCAGTGGCAGGGGCTTACTTCCTGGGAGGTGGTGTTTGGAGATGACTAAATAGGAGCTAGTGACTGGAGTTTAGTGACTGGGGCTCTTATGACTGGACACTGGTCACTCGAGCTTATTGGTTGGGGGCTGGTGACCTGGAGATACAGACTGAGGCTTTGTGAATGGGAATTGCTGACCAGTGAAAAGTGACTAATACCATACTGCCATCGAAGCAAATCATGGGAGAGATCAGTAAGACATATCAATCAGAGTGGCTCTTCACAGTTTTCTTCTGGGTGGGGGTGGGGTGTTACAGAATTACATTCTTATAACTGGATCTCTGAATCTCTGCACCAATGACACGGGGAGCATGGTTGGTTGAGGTCAGCCACGTTTTGAAAAACAAGGCAAATTGTGAATACTATCAAATATTCCCAAAATAATTGTTCAGAAGTTCAGGAGTATGCCGTTTCCAGTTGCTGGACTGCTGGATCGTCTGTCCTGTGTATCGTGCATCTCTAAGGAAGAGAATGAGAAAAGAAGTGTGTGTTGCTTTGCGTGTGTGTGTGTGTGTGTGTGTGCGTGCACATATTAGCTTTATTGTGGGTTTTGCTATCAGAAACTTCCACACGGAACAAAAGCGATTTGCCAGTGAAAACATGCCTGTTGAGTTTGCTATGAGGTATTGTATTAGCAATTAGCATGTGAAAAGACTGGCTTAACTGACCTCCACTGTTTTACTGTCTTAGTTTTAAGTATCATAAATCATCTGTTTTTTCTTTTCCTAATGCTGAGTCTCCCAGCGGAGACTGCATGAGTGAAAATAATTTGAAATCACTGTTAATGAAGTACATAAAACCATGTGAATTTCATTTGGTACCCATGATTTGTTGTTTATGTCATTATTTGTTTATTGGTCTTCTGAAAGGGCGTGATGACGTTCATGGTGTTTCGCCTGTTTCTCATCACACTTTCTTATGAAAATCATTATCACTTTAAATTTGCTTAGCACTTTCCCAATGTTGTATTTTTAATAAATAATGCAAACTTGCTTAACTGTGTTAAGATATCTGCGGCTTACTGCATGATTTAAAAATAAATTATACAAAACTGGATCTCCTTTTAAACATGGATTTATTTATATGATCATACTGCCATCTTGTGGCAAGTACAGAAAATTAAACTACGCCCGAAACGGTTGATAGTAGTGTTTTTGATCCATATTTGCAGAACACGCTAAAGACTGTTACATACAATGTATGAATGTATTAACATGACCTATAATTTAAAATACTTTCATCGTGTGGATAAACATACTTATGTATATTCCCAAACGGTCCCGTGAGGTCAGCAGAAGAGGATTTCTTTTGCATGTGACCCTGTTCATGCAACAGGGAGGATGACTTGTGTGCAGGGTCTGACATTTGGCAAAGGAACAGACGCTTCCAGTACGTAAACAGCCGTTCTAATCCTCCGCTGGCATTTCCTGCCAGGATAAGAGTCACCCAGTGTGCAGAAGCGAGACTCGATCCGTTTCATTAAAGAGAAAGTTAGACATCATTATCTAAAATGTGAGCTAAAAACACGAAAATCACTTTTGCCTAAAAATAGTCAGTCTGTCACTCACACTCATAGGTGCAAAGAACAAGTCACCCAGTTTGTCACACTCATGGGTCCCATTGGATGGCAGCAGTACAAGATCTCAGACCACAAAACATTACATCCTGAATATGTGTAAGTGTGCCGTGTAACGTTTAATTGCAAGCCAAGCTGCAAATCACAGTATTGCTCTTGTCACTAGCGTACATAATCGAGAGGATCATTTGTGGAAAAGTAGAGCACAGCGATCTCTACTAGAAAAATATCTGGATTTATAATTAAAAATGCTGAATAAACACCCAAGTACTTAAACAGGTAAGGTGCTGAGCTAACACGTCACAATTAAACAATACAATTTATTAAAAGCGTTGTCGCTGTAAATCACGTTGCCTTGTATTCCGTATTACATCTATATGGCTTTTCATTTCTCAACATTATACAACGGTAATGACACAGGGGAGCTTACGTCATTTCTACATTTCTATAGGCCTATGTGTCAGCAAAGCCTACGCTACAATACACCCACCTCTCACAACAACGATGGGTACGTGTTGGTGCACTCACTAATATGACTACACTAGTCATTTATGGGAATTATCTGTTATCTAATTAAACGACATAAACATGTGATCGTGGTGATACTGCGCAACAACAGCTAAACCGCCGGTGCCAGCATACAGCTCAGCTATGCCTAGAGCTATGCCTAGAGGTGGCAATTTCAGGTCCAGAAATTAAAACCAACCAACCAGTTGAGCATAAAGAGTCACAGTTACAGAGTACTCAACTGGTTGGTTGAAACAAAAATCATGGTCTGGATTTTTACTTTCTGGACCTGAAATTGCCACCTCTGCCTATAATCATCATGATACAGCTCGTTACACATTCGGTCCTCCCCGCTAGTGGGCAGACATTAATAAAAGTGTACGTCGGAAACGAACTGACCCTCGCAGGCACCCTTCCTTTTTGTCGTTTTCATCCGGGGTATGAAAGTGGGAAGTCTTTTCCCCCGTAGACTGCGCCATGGTGAGCTGATCGGCTATATGTTTCCTAAAAAAAATACACATCCTGAAACATCCTCCTTTTAATTCATAGCATTAAAGTTCTGCAGCAAAGCATGTAATGTTTAGCGTCTTCTGAATTAGTTGGTCCCAATATTGTTTTGAGGAAATTTAAATTCAACCCGGTGAACTATGTTGAAAACCTCTTGCTGTCAGCATTGATTTGGCGTTACACATTTATGAAAAGGAGCATTTGTAGTTTTTCTTTATTAGATTTTTTTTTGTTTTTGTACGTGGTGTTCGTGTCAAGTTCAAACATGTCAAGTTATTAAGTCAGTTTTAAATAAGTCGTATTGGTCGAGGCCGGATTTTACTACTCCAGCTAGCCGGCACCGATTCAGTTTGCTACTTAGCTGGAGCAGTGACACTGTCCCTAAACATTTTGAGACAAAACCCGTTTTCCCCCAGATCTGCTTTTGGTTACAGCTGATGTGCCGGACTAAGTCTCTGTCGGATTTGTTTATGCACAGTTTGAGCTAGTTCGTAGTTCATTAGCTACTCAAATACTAATGAAGACAAGGCGATCGGGTCCTGTTGCGGGGGGCACGTATTAAACTTGTATCCGTTTCATAGGCTCGAGGACCGAAGAAGCACTTGAAGCGCGTGGCAGCGCCCAAACATTGGATGCTGGACAAGCTTACTGGAGTGTTTGTGAGTACCGGTCTTGTCTAAATCCATCGATGTCAGCAGTACAAATGATTGTTTTAAAACCGGCATTGCAGTGTCTAGGCAAAGGATGTTGCTGCAATCTTTGGGCTTCAGCTTGAGCTGTCAGACTTTAGTGTGCCATCTATAAGAGATGGTCGTAACTTGCATTTCCTGTCAGTTCTGGCTATATCACCTGTAAGGAAGCTGAAGCTACTCCCCGTGTCCCAGGCACCTCGACCTTCAACCGGCCCCCACAAGCTGAGGGAGTGCTTACCCCTCATCATCTTCCTGAGGAACCGGCTGAAGTACGCCCTGACCGGAGATGAGGTCAAGAAGATCTGCATGCAGAGGTTCATCAAGATTGACGGCAAGGTCCGCACCGACATCACGTACCCCGCCGGATTCATGGGTGAGTGGTGGTTTCATTTTGGTTGGCATGGTAACACCGGCTTCCTCCCCTGTGCAACTGCCCACCATTAAACAGTCATATACTCTAGCGGTCGCTCTGTGGGGTTTCGTTGTTGCCGAGGCGATGCATTGCCATATGTGTGTATGGAAAGAACAGGTGCCAGTACTCCGGTTGTTATTCAGTACCAGCAGATTATGACTTTTTGATACTCTCAAGAGAACATTAGCCAGCTTCAAGCACTGTGTATGTTTCATTCTTTTGTGGGGTAAAGAAAGAAATATTTTGTGAAACACATACGGAATTCAGGCAGTCAGTACGGTTACATGCACCTTAAGAAAACTGAATTATCGTCTTAGTCCGACTAACACCGGACTTGTAAAGTACATGTAAACGTGTTAGGTCGACTGAAATCATACTAAATGAAATTTCTTAGTTGGACTAAGACACCCAGATAATGCGATTGGGAGTCGATTTACTCCTGCATGTATACGATCAATCAAACCGGCCCAGGCACTTTGCACATGCTCCACAGTCCCCCCCCGATCTCCGCCAGAATTAACGGAAGAATCTAGTACACAGAAGCAGCTTGAAGTCTAGCAGAGGACGTACTGCACGTACTAAATGTACAGCGCTCTAAAGCTGTCCAATTCACCACTTAACTATAGAGCACTTTTCCACCCCACCAGGTACCGTACTTTTGGTACTTCAAGGAGGTACGCAATTGGTCAGCGGGGAAAAAGCCCAATACTAACAAGCTGAAAGGAGCCATATCGCCACCTATCGTAGCGGAGTCAAATATACTTCGGTCAATAAATTAATTCCCCTCCCCTGCATGTATACTGGGACAAAGACAGTAGTCCGATTAAATGGCATAGTCGATCTATAACCGTAGCTGGACTTAGCTGTGTATGTAAACATACTCAGTGTTATGAGTAAGGGTAATAATTAATGACAATAATTGATACTTTATTCATCCTTCTAGGGAAATTCTCTTTATACCTCCCCCAACTTACTCTTAGTAGGTAAGAATAAGCTGCCCACGAAGGGCAGCCGCCTGTTGGGGTGCCCAGGGAGCTGGGTGTTAAGGGCCTTGCTCAAGGACTCAAGGCCGGGTTCGAACTGGCAATCTTCTGATCACAGGCAGGCACACAGGCTTAGCCCACTGACCCATGTGCCGCCCCCAGGATGCTTGACCTAGCGATTTTATCCTGGATTGGAATCTAATCAGACTTAGTGTTGAAAAATTTTCTTTGGCTGCTTGAATGTTCTATATTGCTCATGAAAACACTGCATTGGTGTTCAATAGATTTAGTATGTTGTCCTGACTGTGGTGTTTATTGTGGAAAGATGTGGGCAGTCGAAAGCGCTAGTAACGCATTTAAGAACAACAGTCTTGTGTGAGCAGCTCCCTGGTTCCCTGCAGGCCTGGGTAATGTAAGGACACGTGAGCAAATGACGCTAGGCTCAGTGAGCGCTGTGATAGATCAGATCCAGGCGCCTGGACGTGGGTGGATGAGAAGTTGCAGGCTGAAGCCTGATTGTATTAACCTGCCAGTGGACTGTGCCGACTTGAGTGTGGGGGGGGTGAAGCTATAATTGTAACACGCAGTGTGTTTCCCCTGAAACTTAAATGCTTTTGCAGCCCCTGAAAGGTGATGAGAAGTTAGTGATGGTGCCAGCAGGGTGCTGAAAAAGTTGCATGTAAATCATTAATGCATCTGCTTCTCTCTTTGTACTGTTCTTGTTTTGAGTGGGTTACTTGATTTCGAGAAGGTCCATGACCGCCACCTAGGGGATTAAATTGACAGCTGTTTCATGCCAGTCTTTGGGCTGGTCCTGGTGCTTCACCCAAAGGAAGCAAAGAATGGGCAGGGCTCTAAGGATAGAGGGACCTGCGGTGTTGGAAAGGAAGTGCCTCTCCTGCCAGGTTAAGACTAAGTTATTCACACTTGAAGAATGAAAAAGATCCGCTTTTCTGGGGTCCAGCCCAGAACAGCTGTTCCCTCTGTGTGGGGCACCTAAGTGGCTACCAGGCTCTTTGGCAAGGTGTCATCCGATTCATTAAACCTGAATAGCCCTGCTGACTTGTATAGGCTAACCGTGAGTTGTGAATGAAACGGATTTCAACACTTCTGATGTCTTCTCCCAGATGTGGTCAGCATTGAGAAGACTGGAGAGCATTTCCGATTGATCTACGACGGCAAGGGACGCTTTGCCGTCCACCGCATCACTGCAGAGGAATCCAAGGTGTGTGGTGGTCATGGTGGGTCAGGGGTGGGCTTGTGAGGACGTGACGCTCTAATGATAATACCCTGTTAGCTAAGCTTAGCCTTCACACGTGTTAGATGCCTCCAGCCTTGATCAGTTTCCAGAATAAAAGTTTTTTCTCTGTTGTGTTGCTTTCCCACCTGCAGTATAAGCTGTGTAAAGTGAGGAAGATCATCATTGGCACAAAGGGTATCCCACATTTGGTGACCCACGACGCCCGAACCATCCGCTACCCTGATCCTCTGATTAAGGTCAATGACACAGTCCGCATCGACCTGGAGAGCGGGAAAATCACTGACTTCATTAAGTTCGACACCGGTGAGATGGACAGCCTGATCTCAATGCCTACGCGTGTCTTGTGATCCAACCCAGTTTTTCTAGCAGACCATACTCTGGATTTTAAAATATCGTACGGTCTCCACGCAAGCTTCTGCCCATGTGACTTATGCTTGACCAATCCCTGCAGGCAACCTGTGCATGGTGACAGGTGGTGCCAACTTGGGGCGTATCGGGGTGGTCACCAACCGGGAGCGGCACCCCGGCTCCTTCGACGTGGTGCACGTGAAGGACAGCACAGGGAACAGCTTTGCCACCAGGCTCACCAACATCTTCATCATCGGCAAGGTGAGTGCTGATGGATTGGAGCCAGAGGTGTATGAACATGTGTGGTGGGCTCAGCCTGTTATGAAGGGAGATCGTGGCTGTTAACGTCATTGTGGTCTGTATGTGCTGTTCGTGACAGACGGCACCTTTTGCTGCCACTTATCAATCATAGCTTATGAAATAACTGATTTTATTAAGTACAGTATGAGAGTCCACATCAAGGGGGAACTCCCTCAATGGGAAGCCAGCCACACACAGACACACTACAGGCAATTCAAAGACTCGAGTCCAGCGAAGTTCAATCTCTTGGCTTGAGGGAGCCAATTAGAGTTCCTGGAGGAAACTTACATTAGGAGAAACTCCTCAAACAGAGCTGTAGGCTAGAGTTGAACCCCCAGCCCTGGGAGGTATGAAGTCACTGTGCTACACACTAATAGACCATGAGTGCATCTACATGACATTGAAATTAAAATCCCTTTGGAAGAACGTGGTTTGCATTTCACTTCTTAAGGCGTTGGCACGTACCACAATTAGGTTTCAAGGTTTAACCCTTCCCCAGGATGTGATTGGACCAGTAGTGCACTAGCGGTGGTTTTCATCTTCCTTTTGCTTCCTTCAGGGCAACAAGCCATGGGTGTCCCTACCACGGGGCAAGGGCATCCGGTTGACCATTGCCGAAGAGAGGGACAAGAGGCTGGCGGCCAAGCATGGTAGCAACTAAGGGGCACGGCATCTTAACGGAGCCATGGGCCTCCTACTACCCCCACAGAACCCACGTGAAATAAAAGGTTATTAACAACCAATCAGGTGGCTTTGGAGTATTGCTTTTTTATGGTGCGTGTTGGGTGTTCAGATGTTGATGTCCTATTTGTGTGGGATCGGTTTCATTCCTCTTTGAAGTGGGTGGTGGACAGCTCCATGCCGTAGTTGCTTGCTGTTATTTGTCCTTAACTCCATTAAGTGTGTTTACTCTGTTTTAGGTGTCCGTTTTTATTTCTAAGTAGCTAAAATTGCAAGCCATTGAAAGCTGGCTGTGGTGACCCTGCAGGTTAAATGGCTGCTTTCATTTTCCATCTGCTTTCCACGTGTGAAATTAAACTTTTTTTTTTTAACATGCTGTGCTGCTGAGTAGCCTGCTACTCATATTTGTGAAGTGAGGATGAGAGCGTGTTTTGTGTCGAGATTTTAAGGGTTCTGGTTGACTGTCTCCTACCCTGTATCTTCATCTGGGTTCCTGTCCAGTATTCTTTGTTTAGAGAATCCGATAGTGCTTATTTAAACAGATGGATAATTTATTATTAGGTGCCATATTGTCTGCTGATTCATTATTGCCATATATATGGCATTTTTCTAGAATGTTCTGTCTGCGCTATTGGGCTTCCCAATGACGTGTTAATCGTGATGACTGAGTCAATTCATTCTGTTGCCAGTTAACCTCTTCCATTCTTGCCCACATTTTTCTTGTCTTATTGGTTTTTTCCAGTGTACTTGGTCTTATACCCAAAGTAAGACTGATTTCTAGTGCTGCTTTTAGTGAAAATGTATGCTCAATTATATAAGATGTTTCCCTTGCGTAATTAGGTCTTTTCTAGCATCATAGTTCAAAGGTGTCAATTAGTGATGCTCCGATTGATCGGCCACCGATCATGATCGGCCGATATTGGCTAAAAATAGCTTGATCGGCGAACCCCAAAAGCGTCGATCAAAAAAGCCGATCACTTGACGTAAATTACTCGCGCGACTTTTTCACACGTGCATGCACGGCGCACAGGTAAACAACAGCAGAGCGGAGCTTACTAGTGGCAACATGAGTTCTCCCGTCTGGAAGTTTTTCAAAGTGTCCGATAAAGACGTAAAGTTAGCCGTTTGCAATGTATGTCGTGATGAAATCCCTCAAGGTGGAAGCAAGCAACGGCATTTTAACACCACTAACATGATTAGGCATCTTAGAACACGCCATACAACTGAATATGCTGAGTATGAGAAACTAAACCACTCTGCTCTCGGGGAACATTTCATGTGTTGACCCTGGAGGTGTCAGGCAACAGTGCTGACCAAAGTGTCACTGCCCCTCCTTCAGTGTGGGGCGCCAAGTGTCAAGCGCTTGATTCTTCAAGATCTTGACTGTAGCCTATTTCTACAGTTTTTTTTCAATATAGTTAATTTAGAGTTAGTTTCATTTCTACAAATGGTGCAAACTCTGCTAGATTATAGATAAAAGATTCCCATTCCCCTGCCATTCTGTGATCGGCAGTGATCGGCAATCGGCAGATCATGATTTTGGTGATCGGTGATCGGCCCCAAAAATGCTGATCGGAGCATCTCTAGTGTCAATACTCTTCCAGCCTTGCTTCTCAGTTGTCCAACTTCAACATTAACAGAATTATAGAAAAATACCATATAAATGGATACAATAATTCTTTTCTTTCTTAACCTTCACAAATGATGGTTCTGTCCGTAGGTGTTTGGTTCAGTCTTGAACTACAGATTGTCCGGCAGAGTTAGAAAAACATAGTCCTCCGTAACGCTCTTCAGTTGTTTGCGGTTACCTCAGGGTTGGCTGAGAGAGAGCCTTGTGGTTTCAGTCTAGCTGGCTGCTAGTTTTTCCCTCAGTGGGTGTTGGAAGGGCGTCTTCATGCTTTTCCCCTCACATCCCCACAAACAGACTTGCTCCAGAAGGCCATATGGTCACTGCTGGGCAGCCGCAGGCTCCTCCCCCTCTGGCAGCGGCCAGTGGACTCCATATAGGGAGCCACGAGATGCCAGAGTAGGCGCCTGATGCATCTATGCTCGCACCCAGGCCAGGACAAGCTTAATTCACCATAGTGTGTGAGAGACACAGATAGACCTGCAGAACATCTTCTGTGTACATTGGGCTCTTTATAGAAATACACGCTGTTTGGGTTATACAAGAAATCTGAAAATAAGCACTTTCAAAAAGGTGAGAATCCCCAGACGGTCGTAAGGTTCCCTCTCTTCTGACGTGTCCGTTATATTTCCCGAGTCAAATAAATGTTTTGATGCTATTTCCCAAGTACATTCTACATATAAATGAGGAATTTTAGTACGTATATCACGGAGGATAAAGGGGGAAATTAAAGAAGAGTTTAAACGGCCGGAGTCGTGATTAGTGGTTCCGGAGCGTGTGTTTCTCCTCAGATACTTGAAGCGCTGAAGTGGGTCGGGCGGGCGGTCCGGGAACAATGGTAACATTCATGTCGGACTGCAGAGGGAGGGGTCCAGATGTTTCCAATCAGTTTCTCGCAAGCGATAAACTTTCTTCGTAGTTGGTAAGAAACGGCCCCCGATAAGATGAACTGGCACGATGACTCGCCGGTTCGCTCTCCCTCCCCCCCCCCCCAGGGCAACGTCCACCTCAGAGCGGCACAGTATCTCACCACGCCATCCGTGCAGGACAACCTCTGGGTGTGGGGGCCAGATGTGCGGTGGCAGGGGGGCGACTATTTGTATTAAAGCAACAGAGCTGAGCGTTGCAAAACTTGGCTGCGTTTCAACGTCGGAATTTGTTTCACGGTCCAGCGCAGCTGTTCAAAACCGCTCCTTTTTTTGCACCGTTTTAAAAATGCGTTGTATTAAACATACAGTGGCGAAGCAATACTCCCACAAAGTCGACTAATAATGGACATGTGCTTCAAGTTTTCCAAAAAGCCAAACATACGAAAGGTATAACTATATGCACACTTCTTGTAGCCCGTCAAAATACCACTTTATTAAATAGATAAAATGCCTATGTGTTTTACCTAAGATGGAAATATAATGCAAGTACATGATAAGGCTGCTAAGACTTATTTATCATACATTTTGCTGCGCTGCACTCGATGACAGTGATAGAGTCACTAATTCGTTGCAGAAACATAACTCACGTTCAAACTCTGACGTCCCACTATGCGGCTCTGGATAGGGGCGAAGCCTGGGAGATCAGAAACCTCTGACAGGTTTACATCTAGGGAGAATGGTACACGAGAGCTCCGCGTAGCGAACAATTAATTGCAACAGTTAAAAAAAAGGAAGGGAAAATGAGAGTCCTCCGCTGTAATCCCAAGTTATAGAGGCTCAACAATAGCATCGCAAGTTTTTCGCCCGAAGTACTCGCCTTCAGCAGTGAGAGTACTTCGGGGGGGGAGAGAGAAGATCGACAATGCCTTTCTGCAAGAGGACGATTGCCCCCAAAGATTTGTGCAAAGACGGCGCAAATGGACAGAGCGCGATTTTCGGCGACCTCGTGGACGTGTGCGGATTCACCCTGTGCTCTGCACTCCGACAACTGGCGGATTTGTCTCGGCAGTCGGTCAGCATCTTAGAGGAGCTTGAGGGGGAATTCGTGTCTATTTGTCACCGGTCCGGAACGCTGGAGTGCAAAGTTATCGGTCTGCAAAAGTACATTTCTTCTTTGGCCACCAAGTCCCCGACAAAGAGTAAGAAATTCTCTTTATTTTAAGTAATCAATACTATCGTATAACCGCCTCAATATCATCGCAGTCTATTCATTTCTAGCTTTGTTTGGATTCCATTTACTTCAGCATGCGTCATTTTGTCTGAATAGCCTAAAAATTGCGTTGGCTATTTGGCAGTGGGTGTGGACACAAGATGTGCAGTGGGATGCATTCCTTCTTGTGGACTTTAAGTAGTTGCACGATTTTTATTACATACTTTTGAATAGTAATGATTTAAGTTATTGTTTTTATTTTTAGAGTGCATCGTTAGGTAGTATGCCTGCATGAATTGTTTCAGAAAATGAAATTGGTGGAAAAGTTGACATATGATCTGTAAGCTTGAAAGTACTAATTGTGGAGGATTCTGACCTTCACCCTTTTTCATACTGACATTATATATGCAGTAGTGATGTGTATATGGATTGCTTGCTGACGCCACATTAATAATCTTTGGCCAGCATGTACGATAGAACTCCACGCGTTGCTGTTAATTAATATAAGATTCTCTCAAGTTCTAACTTTATAACCCATTACATCAAATCTGGCTCAGTTCGAAATGTTACTAGGCAGCGAAACGAATGAAAGGACAATGTTTGCAGTTGCTTCCAAAATAACGCATGGTTATGGATCTTTAACCGATTGCAATGTGCCAGGTGCTGTTTTGATTTAATTAAACAATCGATCTGGAAGAATAATGTGCCTTTTCAGAACTCAAGCCAGGTCTTCCAAGTACAGTCATACATTGATCGTTTTCCAAAAAATATGTCAAACCATTTCTCACTTGGGGATAAATCATTTAGCTCAAACATTTGGTGTGAAATTTGCTATGGCCACGAGGAATATAAGATAAGATCTGATCTGAACTGGGTGGACCTAGCTTACCAGCCTCTGCTGAGCGTGGTCGGTCTGTGGATGGTGCGGAGGCGCGTGGGCGTCTTCAATTCACGTGTACCCAGAGGGCGCCAAAGCGCCACATAGAAACTCCAACTAGGCTCCAATTATTTTTCTAGCCTCTCTTTTCTGCATACACTGTTTCCCAATACATTAGTGAATTAATCTGTTGCCATTTTCCATGGTCTCCAAGAAATCTACTATTTAAACAAATAACCTGCTTGAATGAACAGAGTGGAATGAAGTGAATTTAATAGTAGATATCCATTCTGTCTTGCAGGAATATAAATTTTTAAGCGCCATAACAAGTAGCTGACTAGATAGCAAATTATATTGCTCTAGATACCTGGGAGATACTAGAGCGCTGTAACAATGTTGAAATCAGAAGCCGTTCTCTCCTCTTTGGCGCCACACTTCTTGCCACCGCGTATCATTTACACTGTCCTGCACGTAATTAT